GTGCGAATGACATAGGAACAGCGGCCACTGCCCCCCGACGTCCCACGCTGAGCAAGCCACTCACGAAGCTGCTGGGTCGTCTGGGGACGCTGCTGCTGGTGGGAGCTCTGGCCCGAGCCAGTGCCTCCACTCCGACCTCCGCCGCCACCACTACCTCCGCTCCGACCGCCACCGCCGCCACCGCCACCGCCGCCGCCGCCGCCACCGCCGCCGCCGCCACCACCGCCACCGCTCCCTCCGCCGCCCCCGCCTCCGCTGCCGACCCCACTCCCACCAGCACTCCCGCCACCGCTCCCTCCAGCACCGCCTCCCCCCCCACCTCCCCCACCTCCTCCCCCCCCAGCGCCACCCCCGCCACCCTTGCCCCCCTTGCCCTTGCCGGTGCGGCGCCTCCCACCAGGAGCAGAAGCAGCGCCAGCAGACTCAGCACCAAGGAAGTCAACAGCAGCAGCAGTAGCATAGGAGGGAGCGAGGGGAGAGGGAGAACACCCCTCAAAGATGGGGGTGCGAGGAGCGCCACGAGCAGCACCTACAGCTACAATGCTCTTCTCGGCTGCTAGCAGTTTCTCCTCTAGGAGGGCGACAGTGAGCTCAGTGGGACAGCGAGCAAGGAAATAGTCGCGCACTGAGCTAAGGGTGTCAGGGAGACGGGTGACTAGAAAGTGGAGTGTCCAGTACAGTGGAGGGGGGTTCTTAGCGCAGAACTCGGTGGGAAGGGCGGCACGCAGGCGAGCGTCACTAGTGCGAAGGTGGGTGATAAGATCGGCGACTGTAGCAAAGGTGGACAGCTCAGGGAACAGGTAAGGCAGCATAAGGCGGCTAAGCTCGGCTGTGGCAGGTGAGGAATAGCGGGCAACGACAGCGTCGTACAGGGCCTTAGCGGTTTTGCAGTCGCCAAAATGCTCGAGCTCAGCTAACGGCAGGTGACTGCGAATGGCTAGGCGAGCAGCTGCGTCACGAGTCTGCTAGTGGGAACGAACACTAAGCTCTGCTGTGGCAGGAGGGGCAGGTGCAGCACCAGACGCGTAATCATAGAGCGACACATGCTCCTTGCTATCGCTCAGGAGGAACAGCTGCAGGTCATCTAGCCAAGTGGTGAACTGCACAGGGCGGCCCTCAGCATCGAACGAAAGCACGCGGATGGAAGCCATAACGACAGTACGGCAGAGCAACGCAAGCTACCACAGCAGGGGCGGGCAATTGCGCACGGGCAGGGAGCAGCAGGCGGCGCTGCAAGCGGGCAGCGCGGCGGACGGGCGGCTCTGCAAGTGGGCAGCGCGGCAGGCAGGCGGCGCTGCAGGCGGGCAATGCGACAGGCGGGCGACTCCGCAAGCGGGCAGCACGGCGGGCGGGCGGGCAGCGCGACGGACGGCGTGGGGCAAAGCGGGCGGCGCGCGGGGCTGCAAGGCAGCTCGACGGGCTGCGCGGGGCAGAGCGGGCGGCGCGCGGGGCTGCAGAGCCGAGCGACGAGCAGCGCGGGGCAGGGCGGGCGGGTCGCGGGGCTGCGCAGCAGATCGACGGGCGGCTCGGGGCACAGCGGGCGGTGCGCGGGGCTGCGAGGCAGCGCGACGGGCAGCGCGGGGCAGAGCGGGCGGCGCGACGGGCAAAGCAGGGGAGGCGCGCGGGGCTCTGGGCTGGCAGGACGCCGGTCGGCAGGGCGCACGAGGGCGCTACAAAGGGCGCTACGAGGGCGCTACAAAGGGCGCTACGAGGGCGCTAGAGCGCAACGAGGGCGCTACGAGGGTAGGGCGCGGGGGTAACGCGGTAACCGCAGCGTGCGGTGGTGGGCCCTAAAAAAAACGATCGGATGGTCCTAGGGACCACCTGCTCTGAATACCATATCAGAATACTAGCGTGAGAATGGTGCATTGAATGAAACAGTTGGGTACAAGTAGCTAACCCTAGTTGGGGTTGTACCCCATACTGGCTACCCCACTACAGCCTACCAACATATAACAGTTTAACACCCGCTTCTTGGTGATTACCTCGCCCGCAAGCGAGCTGTGGATGTTGACCACCTTTCTTAAGGGGGGGGGGTAGTGTAAGGAAAAACCCTTTTCCTTACTGGGGTTTACTCAACCGCGTACAACCCCAACTTTCGGAAGTGCACGTTCGGCCGCTTTGCTTGCTGCCGAAGCAACCTCGCGTCGCCTTCGGCTTTCCTTTGCCCAACCTGCACTCAACCTCGTGTTCCCGAGGTTCCCGCCTAGTTAGGTTGCCTCGCTATATAATCGCATGTCTTTCATTGTATCGTGAATCCATTGAGTCACAGCCTCGTTATTCGTTATTCCGCGCAACTCTGTTTGACAACTCATAACATAGCTGAAGTGCTAGACTGTTATGAGTCCAGGTCGTACTAGTGATGTGCGTTTCTGATTTGCGGAACTCGGCAGAAACGAGGGAAACTGGCAACCACTGATGCCAGGTATGGTTCTCGTCTGAGCCGTCAACCGAACCAGACCAGGCTTTGACTGTCCGAACCAGAGATCTTGAGATTGCCGCGCAAAAGACCTAGGAGTGCCTGACACGGGCACGCGCCTTGAGATTGCAGCGAAGTGAACAGCTTTCACCAAACCAACCACGAAAACGCCTGCCCCCATTGCGCTTCAGAGGGATTCGATGAGGTTAGAATCTTTCTATATAGAAAATACAGAGGTTTGTTAGGTTAATGCTTAGCTGGTTCGTTTCCATCATTCCCCCGAGAAATGAGGAAAAAGCTGGTGGGAGATCGATGTCTTCGTTCCCATTCTTGGGAAAAGATCAAACTGGGGCCGAACATTAGCAGGAAAGTGACCAATTTAGGGCCAGGTTAATCCCAACCGTTGGATATAACCCCGGGGCTGCCCAGGTGGCTGGGCCGAAGTTCCGAACCAAGCGTTAGAGGAAATTGCTAACTTGCGACTTTATTGTTCCAATGTTCTGGTTTACATTAAGATCGCCGCCTATTACGAAGCTCGCGTCGTATTCCTCTGGGGGTGGTTTCGTCTTGTTTATACAATTTAAAACAGAAGTACAGAATCGTTTTCAGCAACAAAACCATAATTTTTGCTGACAAAAAATATAACCCCGTCGGAAATGGATGCGACTCGGGGAGGCATCAACCCTAAATTCCAGGCTGGTTCCCGTGTTTAGGGTTGATCCCTCCCGAAAATGCTTCCAGCTTCCCTAAAGGTTATAGTTTTTCTACTCTGCCCTAACAGTTTCCTAAGGGTTATAGTTTTTCTACTCTGCCCAAACGAGTGGAAATTACTGGGTTATATCGACATAAAACGTGAAGTTTACTGTTGATCAGTTACGACGCGCGGGATGGTCAGAGCTTATGACAAGTGAAATCACTTACGCGAGTATGGAACCTATCGGTTTCTAACTCCAAAACTCCAGGTTCGGCTTTCCGGCCCTAATTTGGACACTTCCCTGCTAATGTTCGGCCCCAATATGATCTTCTCCCCCCATTCTTCGGCTGGGTGCATTGCAAACCAAAGCGGTTAAGAGTCAGAGCGGTTCTATACCGTGTGAAAACCCACTGAACCAGACTGAACGATCATCTGACGAATGCTTGAAACACCGCCTCACCCCATCCATCTTTCACACCATTCCTGTTTTATGATTCCTAGATTCCTCCATCTTTGAAAGCAGCACTCGGCCTCCCCGTTTTTCACGGGATTTGAAAGCCTGCCCCCCGTTGTCTGTAATAGACCCCACTCCACTATCGTTGCAAGGAACGGGTTCGTGAGTTAGCAACTTTCGCGGCGTCGTTTCTCGAATTCTTCCGCTCTTTTTTTTAACAGCAACTTAGAAAATTGGTGTCCGTGAACAACTTCGCCAATAACCAGATTCATCTCTAGGGTAGTTCCTCTTCCAAGGGCGTTACTGCCCGTGCCTAATCTAAGTTATTGGCACCTCTTTCAGACACCTTTTCAGGCGCCTCGGAGTTCCACTCTTTACCGCGAACCTCGTCGCGTAGGTTGTCGTTTTCCATTTGCAAAATAATAACTTGGATACGGTATCTGACGTGTTCCGTCTGTTGATTCGCGGCTGCTGACTCACCTCTCTTGACTCGCGTCTGCTGACTCACCTCTGCCGACTCGCGGGCTGCTGGCGATGGAGCAGAACATCCTATCAGGATTAGACCAGAGCCTGCGTGGTTCCATGCAGAACCATTCCGGACAGTTTGGAATGCCGAACCAGGCCGGGCATTTCGGGATACCGAACCAAGCCGGGCAGTTCGGGATGCCGAACCAGGCCGGACAGTTTGGGATGCCGAACCAGGCCACTCAGTTCAGCATGGCGAACCAAAGCGGGCAGTTTGGAATGGCGAACCTTAACGGGCACTCGGGAGTCGCAGAACCGCCAAGGCATCTGGGGTTGGGGGAGCCGACGAGGCTATCCGGTTCGCCGGATCCCGCCAAGCAACGAGCCATGTCCGTTCAAATGGAAGCGTGGGGCGGCTCCGCCGCTCAAAGGGTGAGTGACGATTAACTCTTGTGATACGCAATGAATCGACTCGATTTGAGGCATCTCTAATGATCCCGCCAAGCAACGAGCCATGTCCGTTCAAATGGAAGCGTGGGGGGGCTCCGCCGCCCAAAGGGTGAGTGACGATTAACTCTTGTGATACGCAATGAATCGACTCGATTTGGTGCATCTCAAATCCCGCCAAGCAATGAGCCATGTCCGTTCAAATGGAAGCGTGGGGTGGCTCCGCCTCTCAAAGGGTGAGTGACGATTAACTCTTGTGATACGCAATGAATCGACTCGATTTGAGGCATCTCAAATCCCGCCAAGCAATGAGCCATGTCCGTTCAAATGGAAGCGTGGGGTGGCTCCGCCTCTCAGAGGGCGAGTGATCAACTCTTCTGATACGCAATGAATCAAATCGGTACGCAGCGAATTTGATTCTTACGCGATGGATGTCAATGCTGATGTAATTGCTGCGCAACGCGTTCTTCCACCCGTTTAGTCACTTTAACAAATCTAAAAAAAGGGCATCCTACTGTGAGATGACTCCGCCAGGCCGTCCGTTCCCCCATATCGTTAGATCTCAACATTCCCGAATCCTTTACTTTCCAGGTCTTCAGAAAACCAAGTTAACGGATCTCAACAACCAGCGTGTTTCAAGTGTAGGAGCCTTCCTGAGCTGCTCTCGCCGGGAAGGCAATGAAGCCTCACAATGATGCCTTGTGTTTTTTTCTGAATTTAACATTTGTTCCAGCATGTCTTTCCAGAAGCTTCACTTTCCCAACCCCTCTTTTTCCCTCCCCACTCCCTCCCCTCTCCCTGCCGCTCGCCCTCCCCCGCGCCCGTCTGTTCAGTCCGCGCCACCAGTGGCAGGGCCGTCACTGGCAGACGGGTAGCTGACGCGGGTTTCCTTAGGCAACCCGGCGAGCGGGGAGCGCGCAGGGAGGGGGAGGAGCTTAGACAACCCGCGCAGGGACGCAGGTCTGTTAGACAACCGAAGGAGCAGCTGCTGCATGCCACGGAGACGAGCCTGCGGACCAAGGAGGAGGATGCAGGAGCAGCAGGAGGAGGAGATTTGCTTTCTCAGTTCCCTTTCCCTTGCCTCCCCCTCTCCCCATTTCCCCTCACCCACCTCCTCAGTCCGCACCCCCGGTGGCAGCACCCCCACTGGCGGACGGGCAGTTGACTCAAGTGCCGTTGGACAACCAGCCAAAGAGCAGCCTGGAGAGCCAGGAGCGCGCAGCCAAGGACCAGCAGCTGCACGCCACGGAGACGAGCCTGAGGACCAAGGAGGAGGAGCTGCGGCGGATGCAGGAGGCGGTTGAGAAACGCGTTGCGCAGCAGGTGACTCGCGTTGAGCAGGAGGCGAAGAAGCTGGAGCAGCTGCGGAAGGTAAGAGCGGGGTGTGCTGGTGGGGGAGGGGATGTAAGTTAAGACTCGACAAGTGCGTTGACTCGTTAGGCAGCAGGCGACGCGTGTGGCACAGGAGGCGAAGAAGCTGGAGCAGCTGCAGAAGGTGAGAGAGATCGCCTTCCTGGGCTGTCCGAAGTTTGAAGTGGGGACAGCAAAAAGTGCACTCGGCACGTGCGAAAGCATTGGGGTTTGTGATGAGGTGGCGGGGTGATGAATGAGGACGTCGCACTTGGGTTTGGCCTGGCTGGTGGGAAAGGCTCTGCCTTCGCAGGGGGTAGATAGAGTTGTCGCAGTCTCTCTTGATTGGGCGCTAGAATGTGGAACGCCGAAACGGTCGCACACACAGGTGTTGGTGAGCACGTATGGGAATCTTTTGCCCTGCCACGCTGGAACCGTTGGCTGCGGGGCAGCGCAGGACACTTTTGCGGTGCACTTTTGCGCTGCGGTGCACTTTTGCGCTGCGGTGCACTTTTGGAAGGCTGTCCTGTCCGAAGTTCGCAGGAAGGCCATCAGAGGGGGAGGGGTAAGTTGGTGGGTGGGGGAAGAGAGGAGTTGTTGTGAACCTGCCAAGTCTGTGAGTTGACTCGTCAGGCAGCAGGTGACTCGCGTGGCGCAGGAGGCGAAGAAGCTGGAGCAGCTGAGAAAGGTAGGGCCACCAGAAATGGTGTGAGTGATGGTGTGAAGAAAGAGAGAGATATATGGGGGAAGCTGGCGAAACGGGAACGGGAAGAGTGCCGCTAGAAGGTAGGGAATGCATGTGAGGGTCGAAGGGAGAAGGAGAGAGGGGTGCTAAGGTGGAGATGGTGTGAGTGAGGAGCAAGGAGGGTTAAGAAGGAGTCGATTAACTGTCTTACCCTGTACTCACTCAACGTACCCTCCTTTTCACCCCTTTTCCCCTTGCCCCCCTCCCCCTGTATACCTGTCAGGAGCTGGAAACAATAGAAGATCCGACCAGGAAGGAGGTGGTTGAAGTCTTAATTAGTGCTCCTCTCTCCATCTCTTCTCCCGTACTCCTCCTCCCCCTCTGTACCCATCAGGAGCTGGAGACGATAGAAGATCCGACCAGGAAGGAGGTGAATGATAGTTGACAGTCTTAACCATTGCTCCTCTCCTCATTTGTCTCCTCGTTCCCTTCCCCTTGTCCTCCTCACCCCTGTATACCCATCAGGAGCTGGAGACAATAGAAGACCCAACCAAGAAGGAGGTGGCTGATCTGAGGAAGCGGATCGAGCTGGTAGACCGAGAATTGCGCCCCATGCGGGCTCTTGTTGAGAGGAAGGTAGGTGGGTGTATGGGATGGAAGGGGATGCATGTTGGTGCATGGTGGCGGATTTGAGGAAGTGGATCGAGGCCCATGCGCGCTCTTGTTGAGAGGAAGGTAGGAGGGTGTGTGGTGACGCGTGGTGTGTGGTGGTTTGTGGTGATGCAGGCAGAGAGGGGCTGATGCTTGTGCTGCCGATGGGGATTTGAGGAAGCGGATTGAGCTGGTGGATCGGGAATTGCGCCCCAGGAAGGTGAGTGTATGGGATGGAAGGGGATGCATGGTGGTGCGGGAAGGAGGTGGCGGATTTGAGGAAACGGATCGAGCTGGTAGATTGGGAGCTTAGGTCCATGCGTGCTCTGGTGGAGAGGAAGGAAAGTGAGAGGGAAGGATAAGCTGTAATGCATGTTAGCCCCACATGCCCAGTGCCCCACATGCCCCGTGCCACTCATACCGTACATGCCTTACATGCCCCATCCATGCTCCATGCTCCACATGCCCCACATGCCCCACATGCCCCACATGCCCCACATGCCCCACATACCGTACATGCCTTACATGCCCCATGCTCCATGCTCCACGTGCCCCACATGCCCCACATGCCCCACATGCCCCACATGCCCCACATGCCCCACATGCCCCACATGCCCCACATGCCCCACATGCCCCACATGCCCCACATGCCCCACATGCCCCACGTGCCCCACATGGCCCACGTGCCCCATGTGCCCCACGTGCCCCACATGCCCCACATGGCCCATGCCCCATGCCCCATGCCCCGGATGCCCGATGACCGCTGTTGCAGGAGGAGGAGCTGAAGAATGCTACTCTGCCATATAACTTATGAAATTGAAGGATATCAACAAGATTGAAATAACTTATGAGTCTCCTCCAACGCCCCACATGCCCATATCCTGTGCCCCCATGCTCCCTGCCCATGCGCCTTGAACCCCTGTTACAGGAGAAGGGGCTGAAGGATGCAACCACGGGAGTGGTTTTTGAGAATTCTCAAAAACCACTCGCAAGGATGCAACCACGGGATACAAACAACCTCCTTTCCTCATACCGCTGTTACAGGAGAAGGAGCTGAAGGACGCAACCACGGCCTACAACAACAAGAACGCACAGAAATCGGAGCTGGTTGGAAAACTCTTCGAGGTGAGCTGCCTTTGAGACAACTCGCGTGCGGTGCGCTTCAGTCTTCTCAAAGTGTGCCGTGCTGTGCGGCTCGCTTTTGAGTCGACTCAAAAGCAACTCGCGTGCGGTGCACTTTAGTCTTGTCAAAGTGTCCCGTGCTGTGCGGCTCGTTCTCTGTCTGTGTTCCCCCGCGTACAACAACACGAACGCACAGAAGTCAGAGGCAGAACCAGTGACTGTTTAGTCAACTCAGAAGTCAACTGTGTTGCTCGTTCTCTGTCTGTGTTCTGCAGCGCACAACAACACGAATGCACATAAGTCACTTGTTGAAGGAGCCTGTTCGGGGTCCATGATAGGTGACGTTCAAACATTCCCTTGCACATTCTCCCCACTCTCCGAAACCCTCTATCCTTTTCACGTCCTGCCCACCCCACCCCACACCCCTCCAACCCCCCCCCCCATTTCCAACGCACCTCACCTGATCACGTCCACCTTGTCAGATTGTGACGGAGAGTGAGCGGCAACGACTGGCCAAGCTGGAAGAAATAACCTCTATGCTGACTCAAAGAGTCACCCCCCCCTTCACATCTCCACATTGATGGACCCCCTGCCCTTGTCACCCCGTTGATCGCATCAGATTGTGACGGAGAGCGAGCGGCAACGGCTGGCCAAGCTGGAAGAAATAACCTCTCTGCTGACTCAGATGGAGCGGAAAGAAGGGGGGCAGTGAGGTGAGATGAAACAAATAGGTTTACTACTGATGCCGATGGACTGGAAAGCGAGGCATAGGGATCAGATGGGTGCGTGTATGAGTGGCGTGCCCACAAAAAAGGCTTGCAGTGCAGACCTGACTGACAGCTTGAAACAGAAAGTCCAGTTAGGTGGAGGTTGGATGGCCGGTCCTCCTGATGCTTTAATGACCCTTCTTTGACATAGAGGACCAGCAGCATTCACTGGAGCACCAATTTGAGGCGGAGGTTCTATTGCTCAAGTTTGGAGATTATTCATACCATGTGATAAGTTTTATTGGTATTCAGCATTCTGTTTGTGTTTCCAGGGGGGTGGGGGAAGGGGGGGGGGGGTGGGGCGGGGGCGGGGGGGTTGGAGTGCTGGTCGTTTTGATGTAGTTCTATCGTAAGCTTCTTACATCCTAGTGATGTGTTTGTTTAATTTTCCATTTATTAAATAGGTTGTAGAAAAGGAGGTTTTGCACCATGTGGGATGGGTTAATGATCCCTGAAAAGATTCTACAATGAAGCTACGCATAACGAGTATTTCTCGAGATTTTTCGGTTCTTCGCCTTCCTCCAGGTTGCTCCTCCACAAGCTTCACTCGCTAGGCCTCGGTATAGGAATCAGGTGTAGCAACTGCACAAGCACAGTAACATAGCACTCGGTCCTAACATCTCCGCTGTCTCGTTGCGCTTTCTTCATTGCGTGCTCATCGTGTTATTTCTTTGTTCGTAGACGCACCACCTCACAAGCGGCGCTTTTCCGAGAGTCTCCGTCATCATCGCAGCCGTTGATCTGTGATCATCGATTTCGTTCCGCCTTCTGCCAGTGTTTCAGTGTTTTTTTTGGGTGTGCGTCGTAGCTTCGTGAACCGTTTCGCACCCCGTTACGCGAGCACGTTCCGTCTATTCGCTTATCGAATTAAATCAAATCGAATCTGGCGGCGTTGATGTCGATCCAGATGGCGGCGGCTGCGGCGGCGGCGGACGCGCAGAATCGGCCCTCGAGAATACCGAACCTGGCCCGAGCCGCGGCGCCCATGATGGGCGTGCCGCATCAACCAATCGTCGTAGACCGCGAGAAGGTGCGCGCTTCGGTGTTGACTGTTTTGGGGTGGGGGAAAGGTGCGCGCTTTTCCAATCAAAGGTGTGAGTCGGACAGCAGTCAGTAATTCCTGCCACCGTTGGGCATTGGGCTTCGAGAAAATGCGAGATGCAATCAGGTATGTATGCACCGATGGGGTGAGAGAATGCCTTTATAGTGGAAGCTGTGGGGCAGATAAAATTTTTGCATGCCAGAAGGAGTCCTCCTATGTACTTCCTCGTATTCCCCTGCTCGTGCTCACCCCCTCCTCATGCCCGTTCTTTTTCCTTTTCGCTTTTTTGTTCCTCCCCTTGCTGGCGTTTTTTATTCCCTTGTTTGGTGGTCACTCACTTTTTTTTTCCCCTCTTCACCTACCCCCCCACCCCCCTCTCTCCCCTCCCCTCCTCCCCCCTCTCCCCCTCCCTTCCACCCCTCCCCTCCACCACCCCTCTCTTTCCCCCCCTTCCATACCCGTCCTGTTATCTCATCATAGCAGACCTGTCCGCTGCTGCTACGGGTATTCCACAAGGTCAGTTAAAGTCCACCCCGCCCTACTAAGCCTTCCTCCAAACCCATTCTGTTTATCTCATCGTTACAGTCGTGTCCGCTGCTGCTACGTAGGTCAGTTGAAGACAAAAGTTTAGGACAAAGAAATAACTTTTTTTTTTTTTTTTTTTCCCCGTATCATGTAGCCGCCCATGGGCCATCCATGACCATACTACATACGCCATGCCATCCCCATACTACGTAGCCAACACATGCCATGTAACCATCCCCATCTGGCAATGCCAATTTTCATACGGTTCTCCATGTGCTCCCCATTCTGAGCATGTTAATCATTTCTGAAAATCGCACTCCTTTCCCAATATGCCACCCCTTTCCCAATATTTAGCCGCTTTCCCAATATGTCACTCCTTTCCTAATATGTCACTCCTTTCCTAATATGTCACTCCTTTCCTAATATGTCACTCCTTTCCTAATATGTCACTCCTTTCCCAATATGTCACTCCTTTCCCAATATGCCACTCCTTGCCAATCTGTCACCCTTTTCCCAAAGTTTCATGTCCCTCTGCCCGTTTACGTGACACCGTGAGTTTGTCTTTTCGAGTTCTCCAGAAAGCCTTCGCCCCTTTCCCCTTCTCCGGAATGATAAGGAGAGATTTGTTGTCTGGTCTTTCTATCTTTCTTTCCAGAATGAAATTGCATGGATCAGATTTGGACGCCTCTGCAGTGAGTGGGGTAGGAGCCCAAGGCATTGTTTGATCTTTCCCTTTCGCTTTCTACCTTCCTCCTCGTGTTTTCTGCTGTCCTTGTAACTAACAGCATGGGGGTCATCACGATTTGGACGCATTTGCAACGAGAGGGCAGGAGCCCAAGGAGGAGGTGCAGATGTACACATGGAAGGATGCTACTCTCAGAGAGCTGACAGATTTGGTGAGTATTCACTGAACATTCATTCATTGTAAGAAGGGTGTCACGTTGAGAGGGCAGGAGCCCAAGGAGGAGATGCAGATGTACACGTGGAAGGATGCTACTCTGAGGGAGTTGACAGATTTGGTGAGTATTCACTGAACATTCATTCATTGTAAGAAGGGTGTCACGTTGAGAGGGAGCAGATGTACACGTGGTGGAAGGATGCTACTTTGAGGGAGCTGACGGACCCGGTGAGTGTTCACTGAACATTCATCATGAGAGGGTGACCCAAAGGAGGAGGTGCAGATGTACAAATGGAAGGACGCTACCTTGAGGGAGCTGACCGACTTGGTGAGTATTCGCTGAACATTCGCTAGAAGAAGGGTTTCAGTTTGTCGTGGAGCCAAAGGATCCAAGGGAGAAGGTGCAGATGTACACGTGGTGGAAGAATTCTACCTTGAGGGAGCTGACGGACGTGGTGAGTGTTCACTGAACATTCATCATTAGAGGGTGACAGACTTCGTGGGTGGCCTGGTGGTGGGTGCGAGGTGCGGTGATTGTTGAGTGTTCAATGAACATTCACACGTCCATGAATGTATAATCCCGGGTGCATACATTCATGGGCGTGTGGATGTTTTTTACCTGCCGCCCCCCACTGCTCTGATCACATCAGGAAGTGATCACATGGTCAATCGACGGTCAGGTAAGAGAGGAGTATCAAGGGCAATGAACATCTAACGATCTTTAAGGACCTAACTCAAAGCTGCATTCCATGTCCCTTCTATCTACACCCTCTGCACATCCCTGTTATACACAACCTCTTCAATGTGTCTTTTTGTTTCAATCTGTCCCTGTACTCGCTATTGGCTGTTTCAGTTGAAGGAGGTGGTACCAGAGGCTCGTCGGAGGGACGCTCGGTTATCGTTTGCCTTTGTTTATCCCAATAGACAGGGGAGGAACGTGATGAAACAGGTGAGGAACAGGGATTTTTATGGACACTTGGTTATCGTTAGCGGTGTATTCGAATAGGCGGGGGAGGGACGTGATAAAACAGGTGAGGCCGTTAAAGTAACAAAGGTAGAAAGGAATGAGACGTGAGAAACAAAACACGCACATGCACGCACGTGCGCCCGCCCACACACGATCAATCAAAGCAAATCAAACGATCAGACGAATCCAATTCACATGTATTATTATCCCCTCTCCCCCACATGCCAGGCTGGCATCACCAATTCAACGACACTCAGATCCACGTCCCCTCCTCCCTTGCCCTCCTCCCTCGCCCTCCTCCCTCGCCCTCCTCGCGTCCCCTCCTCCCTTGCCCTCCTTACCGCATTGAGGAGAGATGCAACACGCCCTCCGTATGTCACGTTCTTCCCTCTGTTGCCTGCTTTTGCTGACCCGTCCCCTGCCTACATGATCCGTTTCCTCTCCCCCCCATGCCAGGCGGGTATCACCAATTCAATGCCGCGCAGACCAACACACACTCTGCATCCGTATACCACATTCTCCTTACCTCGTCTCTATCCCCTCCCTCCATGCCAGGCGGGTATCACCAATTCAATGCCGCGCAGACCAACACCGGATGATAACAGGACATTGCATGAGCTGGGGTTCCAGGTGAGCAAGGCATGAGTTTGAGAGGAGCAAGGGATGAGTGTGATAGGAGAAAGGGATGAGTGTGTTAGGAAGGAGCAAGGGATGAGTGTTATAGGAGCAAGGGATGAGTGTGAGAGGTGCAAGGCATGAGAGTGATAGGAGCAAGGGATGAGTGTGATAGGAGCACGGGATGAGTGTGATAGGAGTAAAGCATGAGTGTCCCCTTTCCTACGCACTCACTTCTGTCCCCGGCTGTTTTCCCCTCCATCTCTCCCATCCTCTCTACACACCTCCTGCTGTCCCCCAATTTCCGTACCGCATGCAAACAGGCTGTTCATTCAAACCTCAAAGATGGGATTTCTCTCAACGTCCTATCCCCCGTGAAACAGACCAACTCCTTTTGCTCCCCTTTCTTTCCTTCCCCCCCCCACCCCAAAACCCCCAACCCAAATACCCCACCTCGCCCTCTCCCATTTCCTGCCCGGCCCCTCCCCCCACCCCCTTACCCCAACAGACGGGTGATTTCCTAGACGTTGCTATTTTCACGTGAGACATCGCATGCCGCACTGGTGGTAACTGCTAGGGCAATCCCCTTCACGCTAGGGTCCTGGTCATCCCCACAATGTCGCAAGTTGTCCAAGTACACCCTAGGGTGCAGAAATAATATTATCTATATCTATGAATGGATCACAATAATGATTGTAATGGTTTGAGGTGAATATGGGTTCCACTTGCAACGGGTATTAAGCAATAGTGCCACGAAAATCTTTCATATTTACTGTTTGGCTTGTCATTGGTCAGGCACACATATCTTACCATAAAGAAATTATTCATGTGTAACCTATCAGTACCACATTACTAAGTGGACCAGCCTGCAGACAATCTGAACTCATCCCACTCCTTCCCATCGGTCTCCACCCCTTCAACCCCCCTCCCTCACCTCCTCCCCTTGTCTGGTACTTCACCCCAATTTCGCGCGGTATGAGTTACGGTATGATGAGCTGCGTTTGCCAGCATAAGCAATTGCGATGCCAACGGCAACGGCGGCTGAATCTGTCAGAAGGTGTGGCATCACTGAGTGCCGTGCTTACCGTAGAATCCAGTATTGTTTTATTCGACAGACAACTCGGTCCTCATGGGACTCACTTCGCTTGAGCCAACGTGGCCTAAAAAGTATTCGACAGAAAAATCAGTTCTCATGGCTTTGACCATTGAGTCGTGTGGTACTGCTCTGCTCGTCGGCTCTCAAAACAGGAGAATGAAATCGAAAGTAGCTAGATGCCTTTTGAGTTGGTTGACTCAACACTTTATAAGTAACTGCGGTCGGGTACACTTCCATAGCAACCTACTGCTAGCAAAACAGGAGAAGTAAACGGGAAATCAACCCATTCCTGCAGTCTGCAGGCAGAGTGTTCGTGCTAAGAAGTTCAATAACATACAGAAGAACATGTTCTAGTACTTCGGTTATTTCAACATCCATAACAAGCAAGTAGGAATACAACAATCTATCTACTACAGTGCAAGTATTAATTCTTATTTTTTTCCACCCTTCCCGCCCTTCCCACCCTTGCCCCCCTTCCCTCCTTTCCCACCCTTGCCGCCTTTTCCAGCTTTTCCGCCCTTCCCAGTGCTCTGTGTGCCCGCGGTCTGGCCCTGTTCCTGCCCCCCTGCTCCCCCCTGATCTCCGCCAGCTCCCCCCTGATCCCCGCCAGGCCCTCCCTGATCCCCGCCAGCTCCCCCCTGATCTCCGCCAACTCCCCCCTGATCTCCGCCAGCTCCCCCCTGATCTCCGGCAGGCCCGCCCTGCTGTCCGCCAGATCCAACCTGCTCGCCGCCAGGTCCCCCCTGCGCTCCGCCAGGCCCGCCCTGCTGGTTACCAGGCTTCCCTCCTTTTCCCCCCTTGCCCCCTTTCCCTCCCTTTCCGCCCTTGCCTCCCTTCCCACCTTTCCCTCCCTTTCCGCCCTTGCCTCCCTTTCCGCCCATCCCGGGACCGCCTGCCCCAACGTCACCGAAACTGCCGGTATCTCCTCCATTTCCGGTATCTCCACCAATGTCTCCGCCATTGCTGGTATCCCCGCCGGTATCCCCGCCATTGCTGGTATCCCCGCCATTGCCGGTATCTCCGAAAGGTCCCCCTTGCTGGTTACCAGGCTTCCCTCCCTTTCCCCCCTTGCCCCCTTTCCCTCCCTTTCCGCCCTTGCCTCCCTTCCCACCTTTCCCTCCCTTTCCGCCCTTGCCTCCCTTTCCGCCCTTGCCGCCCTTCCCTCCGCCCACGCCTCCGCCGGGACCGCCTATCCCAACGTCGCCGCCACTGCCGGTATCTCCGCCAATGTCTCCGCCGGTGTCTCCGCCGATGTCTCCGCCGGTGTCTCCGCCGGTGTCTCCGCCAATGTCTCCGCCGATGTCTCCGCCAATGTCTCCGCCCATGTCTCCGCCAGTGTCTCCGCCGATGTCTCCGCCGGTGTCTCCCCCGATGTCGCCGCCAGTGTCTCCGCCGATGTCTCCGCCGGTGTCTCCCCCGATGTCGCCGCCAGTGTCTCCGCCGGTGTCTCCCCCGATGTCGCCGCCAGTGTCTCCGCCGATGTCTCCGCCAATGTCGCCGCCAGTGTCTCCGCCGATGTCTCCGCCGATGTCTCCGCCGGGGTCTCCGCCAATATCTCCGCCAATATCTCCGCCGGGGTCTCCGCCAATATCTCCGCCAATGTCTCCGCCAATATCTCCTCCACTGCCGGTATCTCCGCCATTGCCGGTGTCTCCGCCAAAAACTCCGCCATTATCTCCGCCAATCGACGCGGTTGTGCGAAATAGAATGGGTGTCGAGATTGGAGCCTCCTTCGTCAAGAAAGAGAGGGCCCTGAGTGCCAGACTGCGGCGCGGAGAGAAGCTCCTTCCGAACGCTGCGTGAAGGAGAAAATGCGAGAATATTGAGATGACATGTTGAGCTACGGATGAATTTGAGAATTGAAAATAAGCAAGAACCGCGCAGAAGGAAGAACGGCGCAAAGGAAGAACGTGGGAGGAAACGAAAGCGGTATTCGGTGGAAGGAATGTGAGGTGTTGGTGAAAAGGAGGTGGAAGTACGAGGGGAGTAAACTTACCAGGCGCGAGGAATGTCGTGTATTATTTTGTTTAAACGTCTCAAAACATTTTTGTTTCCTCAGAGAAAGGAAGCTGGTGTTGATGAGAAAGTGGTGTGCGGGCTGTACTCTTACCAGGCGCGAAGGTCTTTCGTGAGAACCATTTGTTCGTATTCGGCGTCTCAAAAAGAATCAGTTTTTGTAAGGAACAATATTGAGGTGTGAATATGAGGCGATGGATCTTACCAGGCGCAACGGAGGCTGACGCTACGAAAAGCGCGAGAAGCAGCAGCGGCAGGGACATGCCTCGCACCGTGTACCCCATTGTGGCGGCGGAACCCGGCGCTTGTTGTAGTGCTAGGAACTAACGGTAAGGGTGGAGGCAAAGTAAAGCAAATTGAACGGGACAGGAAGTGGCTGTCAAAAGACTTCGAGAATGAAGACAAAGACCTGCTGGTGCAAGTGACGAGTAATTTTTATGTGATGATGCGGAGAGGATGCGGCTCGCACACGTTTTCCTTCGTGGGGCTGGTTTGGAATGCACATTTGGCGGGAAATGTGTTTTCGCGCCAGGTAGAGGCCGTGAGTTTCGCTGTTCTCGTGTTCACCACAAGTCTGGGGGGAGGTGTGTTGCGACGGAGGCGTGACGAGCCTCGCGAGTCGGGGAGCTGGTTCGCGAATTCGAATACAGCCTGCGGGGGTAACCTGGATCAATCATGCACCACCGATAGTCCTGGCGCTCTGCAAGGTCAGATCGCAGGGAGAACTCTACTGGTCGCGCCTGTTGATACTGGTTGACTTGATCCCACCTGAGAGAGCCCAGCCCGTCGATGGAAAATGCGGAAGTTGCGGCAGGAAGTGTCACAGCAAAGTGACAGAACTGTAGATGACGGGTATACATACAGCTTCGCTATCTTGCATTCGGCTACACTTTCACATTTTTGTATTTCGGAAATTTGTACCTACAATACTTTCGTCAGGCTGGGTGTCAACAGCAAATGCGAGGTTCCCTGACCCACTTGAATGCGTTTCGCCAGCATGAATATCTCGCGTGACCTTTTCGCAAAACATTCAAATGCCTTCGCAGCATTATCCTGCTTCCACCTCCCTTCCCCATTTGGCTCTGCCCCCGACAACATGTTCTTCGCCAAGTTACAGACCTTCAGAGTGGCCTCTGGTGCTCCGTGATACTAATTAGGTGAACTCGCTTACTTGGAACTTACTGCTCGCTGTTTACTTCCAGTGGGAAAATTTTCGGACGTCGACAATATCGAAGCATGGTGCTGGTCGCCACCTCGTAGCTACGACAGCTTGTCAATGTGCATGACATGGCACCAGCACCCACACTCACTAGCGCGACACTTGCACCCACACTCAATAGTAACCGAAGACCAGGGAAAGGTACGAGAACCATGCACTTTGTTACAACAATTGGTACAAGAACATGAAAGTAAGATTACAGTAACCTATCAAATCAATTGCGACAGATTTTCATTTCTTTCCACCCTTCCCGCCCTTCCCACCTTTCCCACCCTTTCCGCCCTTGCCCCCCTTTCCGCCCTTGCCAGTTCCCCCTGCTCCCCCCTGCTGCCCGCCAGATCCGCCCTGCTCTCCTCCAGATCCGCCCTGCTCTCCTCCAGACCCGCCCTGCTCTCCGCCAGATCCGCCCTGATCTCCGCCAGATCCGCCCTGGTCTCCGCCAGATCCGCCCTGGTCTCCGCCAGATCCGCCCTGCCCTCCGCCAGGCTTCCCTCCCTTTCCCCCCTTGCCCCCCTTCCCTCCTTTTCCGCCCTTTCCTCCCTTCCCAACCTTTCCGGCCTTGCCTGTCTTTCCGCCAGAACCGCCAGTTTCTCCGCCTCCGCTCGCATCGCCGCCTTCCCCAGCGGTTCCGCCAGTGTCTCCGCCAGAGTCACCGCCAGTATCTCCGCCAGCGTCTCCGCCAGAACCTCCCTGCTCTCCGCCAGGTCCCCCCTGCTGGTTACCAGGCTTCCCTCCCTTCCCCCCCTTGCCTCCGTACCCTACGATTCCGCCCTTTCCTCCCTTCCCGCCCTTCCCTCCCTTCCCGCCCTTCCCGCCCTTTCCTCCCTTCCCGCCTTCTCCGCCAGCCCCGATAAGTGGCGCGCCATCGCCGTTATCTCCGCCAGGACCCCCAGGCTCTCCGCCAGTGTCGCCTCCAGTGTCCCCGCCCGTGTCTCCGCCCGTGTCTCCGCCAGTGTCCCCGCCCGTGTCTCCGCTCGTGTCCCCGCCAGTGTCCCCGCCATTGTCTCCGCCAGTGTCTCCGGGATTGGCTAGAAGAGTGACGGTTGACGATCCCGGGAAGCTGAGAAGCGAGAGGGCCTTGAGAGCCAGGCTGCGACGAGAAGACAAACTTCTTCCAAACGCTGCGAGAAGAGGAAAGAATGCGAGAGTATCAGAAAAACGAATAAGGACGAGAGGGGCAAAATGGAGGGGTTCGAGGATACGGAAGTGTTATTCGGGGAAAGGAAACTGAGCTGTTGGAGAGCATAAAAAAGAGCGCAACGGGCTCTCTTTTGGCTATTTTCGGAGTCTGTTTTGTTCAAAGTAAGGAAACGGAGGTGTTGGCGAAAAACCGGTGATGATAGTTGTGGGTCCTTACCAGGCGCGACGGACGCTGACGCTACGAAAAGCGCAAGGAGAAGCAGCGGCACGGAGATGCTTCGCATCGTGGACCCCATTGTGGCGGCGCAATTCAGGCGCCTTTCGAAGTGCCAGGTACTGAAGGAAAGAGTGGAAGTAGGCGAATACGGAGCTGCTGATGAAGAGGTTCTAGTACTACTGGAGAACTGATGACGACGACGAGAGGGACGAGTGGTTTTATAGCAGGGTTGTGAGAACGCGGTTCGCACAATTTTTTCTTCACAGGAGTTGAACTGCACATTTGGCGGGAATTACATTTTCGCGCCAGGTGAAAACCGTGAGTTTCGCTGTTCCCGTGTTCCCACCCAGGGAGTTGCGAGAGTAGAGTGGCGAATGTCGCGACGCTGGTTACTGTAGCGGTGGGCTCGGCGAATTCGAGTTCCTGCAATTTTCCAACCTGTGAGGATTCACGATTTACGACATGCTCGGCCTCTGTTCACGGCGCGCTGCAAGTTCAGATGGCAGGTGTAACCCCACTGGTCACGCTTATTGAAACTTGTTGACCCGAACCTGCCTGGCGTGGGGGAATCGCGTCCCGCTCGTCGACTGAGAAGGCGAAAGATGCGGCAAGGGCAACATAGCGGTTGGACCTGAAGCGCGTATAACGGAAACATTCTTTCAATCGTCTACACTTACATATATTTTATTTAAAAGATTAGCTTGAGCACTTTGACAAGGAGTAGTGTATATAAGCTACAGGACAGAGAGGAATGGTAAAAAGACTAGCTACTATAGAGATTCATGGGAATATGCAACCCCGCTAGGGCGAATAAGGTATGCCACCCAACGCGGCATGAAAACACAAATACCGGTACATGGCACTTTTTGTTCTTCGACTGGTTACAACGAAAATGTATGTCGCATACAAATACCGGTACCACACAACACTTGTACGGTTGAGAAAACGTGTTCAGGTTTGTATTTTATGGATTGGGGAACATTATTGATAAAACCAGGGAGACTACTAAAAGGAACGAGCCCCCGTAAAGGATTCTAGTGAGAATACGATGGTGTGAGGATTCTAGGAAGAGGGGGGAGGGGAGAAATGAAGAAATGGGTGCATCAGGTGAAGTCAGGGAGACGAAAGGAAGGAAAGAACACCCCAAAAAGGATACTGATGAGAATAGGATGGTGTGGAGAGATCTGGTGCTGGTGTCGGAGGTATATATGTGAGGCGGCGAGAGGATGCAAGGGAAATGGGAGAAGCAGGCGTAGGAGGTTTGAGAGAATGGCCTCTCCATCCAGGAAGAAAATCTGAAGAGGGAGCAGGAAAGGGAGAGAGCATAAAGAATTGTATGAATGGATTGGGGAGGGTGTAGATGTGAGGCGAGAGGATGCGAGGCGAGAGGATGTGAGGCGAGAGGATGCGAGGCGAGAGGATGCGAGGCGAGAGGACGCGAGGGAAATGGGAGAAGCAGGCGTAGGAGGTTTGAGAGAATGGCCTCTCCATCCAGGAAGAAAATCTGAAGAGGGAACAGGAAGAGGAGAGGGAGAAGGGAAGGAGGAGGGGGGGGGAGAGGGAACAGGAAATAGGATAGTGGGGTTGGAAGGTTGTAGATGAGAGGCGAGGGGACGCGAGGGAAATGGGAGAAGCAGGCAGAGGAGGAGGCTTGAAAGAACAGCCTCCCTGTCCAGAAAGAAAATCTGAAGAGGGAAGAGGTTGGGGAGGGGGTGGGGGCAGATGAAGAGATACGGTAGATTATTGGGTTTGGAGGAGGGGGCCAAGAGAGTGGTGGTTGAAAGAGAGAGGCTTATGTTAATATTATACTCACTGGGGATAACATTATACTTAATGAGGGCGAGAGCAATTTGAGGCGCCTCAAGAGTCTACTACAATGTTATTATCTGTTTCGGTCGATAATATGCTTTTGAGTCGACTCAAAAGCAGCCTCAAAAGTCTATTACAATGTTATTATCTGATTCGGTCGATAATATCATGTTATACTCACTGGGGCAGCGTTGATGAGGGCAAGAGCATTGGACACGTGGAAGACAAAGAGAGTGACACGTGTTACCACCACAGGGCCCCACAACGGCGCTGAAATCTGAAGCGTCGATGGTGGCGATGCTGGTAACACGGATGAATGGTTACGATGCTGCTTTTCCCCTTCCTCCCTCTCGTGCTGATCCTTCTCTATCTGCTGTTGCTGCAGCACCTGCCACTGTTTCTCCTGCACCTGCTGCCATTGCTGCTGCTGCTGCTCCTCTCCCTGCTCTGGCTGCTGCTTCCTTTGCTGTAAGTTCTGCCATTGCTGTTGCTGTTGCTGTTGCTGCTGCTGTTGCCCGTCTATCTGCAGCATGCTTGGAGCATGCAAGAATCTCCTGGGTCCCACCGTGTGTGTAGGCATGTGTGTCGCATGGTTAGGCAGTGTGAGAGGGAGAGTGAGGGTGCGAGGGTGCCATGAGGAGAGAGAGAGACCCTGTGCGAAGGACTCAATGGTTCCCACAAACACGAGAGAGGAGGACGTGGAGGGAGAGGAGTGAGTGGAGTGAGAGGAGGAGGAAGAAGAGGAAGTGGAAGAGGAGGAAGAGGTGGAGGAGGAGGAAGAGATGGAGGAGGAGGAAGAGGTGGAGGGTGGAATAGAGGATGGCTGAAACCGAACGAGGAGCAGCAGATGGTGACGGGGAAGGACCGGGGCCATACAGATAAATCCCTGGTGTGAGGGGAAGGAAAAGAATGATGAGAGGATGACCGGAGGAAAGACAGGGGAAAGAAGTTGAGAACTGCACAAGGGGGAACGAGGAGCAGCAGACGGCGATGGGAAAGGACAGGGGCCACGCAAACGGAGGTGACTTTTGAGTCGACTCAAAAGTCAGACGGAGGCCTGGCAGGGGGAAAGATAAAGCAAGGGAACAATTTTCAGGAGATAGTTTAGTGTGACAAGCAGGAAAAAAGGAAAACAACAAAACGTGCTCGTTTTGAAAGCATGTCCTGTTGCTCCCTACAAACACGCCTCTCAGGGCATATCTGTCAATACTTCTCATTCTGGGAGTATTTCTAAAGAGATATCCTTCTGAGGGTAAATCTCTCCTTGCTCTTCCGCACTCACCTTATTGCATTGACGTTGATCATTCCCCTGATCATCCATCCAACCCCACCCGCATCTCCGCCCTTGCTCCACCACCTCTCTTGGATGCAAACATTCAGTGGTAAGAACCATCCGAGAAGCTTCTTCTTGGTGCTGCAATTCATCACCAGAAAACTTAGAGGAAGCTTCTTCTCGGTGTGGTTCACTGCCAGGAAGCTGCACGGAAGGTTCCGCGTAGCCAGCTGGAGCTCTCCGGAAAAGGATGGTTCCAGGAAAGGAGGAATCGCATGAGATTGGCAGTGGCGGTGATTCCATGTTGGAATCATCATGGTGGTAAGAAGGTTCCAGGAAAGAGCGTTGATTTGGTGCGGATGCAGGGACCGGCGGTGGGGTGCCATTGGCTGATAAGGGTGGACTCAGCAGTCCAGGTGGCAGTCTGTGATTGGCCGAAAGGGGGATGCAATATCCTCGAAAAGGATGCGGGGAAGGGTTTGAAGGAGGTCCATGGAAGAAGAGAGGGGGTGGCTTTGGAGGGAGGTAGAGAGAGGAGGGTGAGGAGGGATCGAGGAGGGAGGATTGAGAAGAGTTGAATATTGGTAGAATGTGGCTGTTGTGACCAGGGGAAAAGTGGGAGAGTCGAGAAAGGTGGGAGAGGAGGTGAGTGTAGTCAGCAGGAGAGGAAAGGGGAGTGTGGTCGAGTGCTAGTAAGGTGTCTCCTGGGCGAATGTGACTGTAAAGAGGGGAGAGCGGATGCACGGATGTGACCTGGGGTTGGGAAGGGAAGGGAGCACACAGGAAGGTCAATTGTGACTATAATGAGGGATGGAGCGTCATGTCATGTCATCGGTGGAAATCTCACATGTGACTATAGCGAGGGTATCATGAGGCAAACAGCCAACGGTATGACATGGATCCATGTCATATAGTCAATCGATGTGCTTCTGGAAATTCTCAGAACTGTGTCTGTCTGCACAGTTGCACATTCTTTGAGCCATCAGGACTATAAGAGAGACCAACCGTGTAAGGACAGAAACGTGGGGTCTTACCTTGAGGCCGGGAGGCGATTGTGAGTAGAGTGGAAAGAAAAGGGCCGCTTGGAGAGGAGAGGAGAGGAGCAGCAGCGCGAGTAGAGACAGCTGCATAGGTGGTAGAGGGATCGGATGGGTAGGGAAAGATGGGAACAGGGGGGATCAGATGGGGGAGAGTGGAAGGAAGAGGGCGTCTTGGAGAAAGGGGAGAGAAGCTGAGCTAGTAGAGATAGTTGCATAGGTGGGAGTGGGGAAATGGTGCAGTGGGGAGGGGAACAGGGAGGGTAGGGGGAGGAGGGTGCAGATGAGGTGGGGAGAAAAGACGGCTTTTGAGTCGACTCAAACAGAGGGGGGTGCGGATGAGGTGAGGATACAAGATGGAGGAATGCAGAAATGCACAAGACTCGCCACTTCGTTGTGCCAGATGTCAGCGGAAAGCACTATCAGCACGCGAGCAGGCGGCAGGGAGAGGAAGTCGGAGGGATGGAAGGAGATAGGAGTGAGTGGGTTGAAATACCATGCGATGCACTGCACTCACCACCATATGTTGCGCCAGATGCCAGCGGAAAGCACTCTCAGCACGCGAGAGGCTTTTTGGAGGCAGGAGAATAGAAGTGCGCATCCTGAAATGAGCCCCCATACCCATCCAGCACTCACCACCATGTTGTGCCATATGCCGGCAGCGAGTATTCGCAGGAGCCGTGCAGGAGGCAGGGCGTGGAAGTCGGCGGGATGGAAGGCGACAGGAGTGGGTTGGGTGGTACTACTGTGCCATGCACTGCACTCACCACTATGTTGTGCCAGATGCTCTCAGCAGGCGAAAGGGAGGCAGGAAGTGGAAGTCGGCGGGATGGAAGGCGACATGTGCTCCAAGGAGCAAGTGGGTGCCAGGCACAATGCGCACTCACCCACATGTTGTGCCAGATGCCGGCAGAGTGAATACGCAGGAGCCGTGCAGGAGGCAGGGCGTGGAAGTCGGTC